TTTAATCTTTAATCTTTTCTCTTTTATTTTTTAGCTTTTAATCTTTAATCTTTTATCTTTTATTTTTTAACTTTTAAATTTTACTTTTGACTTTAACTTTGACTTTTATTTTATTTTTTATTTTTAATTTTAATTTTAAAATTTTTTTACTTTTACTATGGCTTAATGGTAATAATTTGATCAATTACTTTTACCATTAATTATATAAGAAATAATAATTTATAAGTTTTAAATAATTAATTATTTATTTATTCTAATTAATTATACTTTTATAATCACATAAAAATTAATAATTAAGGATTATATAAATGATCTTGAACAAACCATTGAAATTTAAGTGGAGATCATACAAATAGCCTTAAAGACCATAGTAATTCCATTAAATTTTTTTATTAATATTGGTAACCATTCCTTTAAAGGCTTAAAGTTAACCGAATTTCTAACACTAAGATTCAAATCAACTTAGCAATTATACAATTGGGAGTTTTTCCATTCCACCTCTTGAACTTATTGAGTAGCATCAATTTCATTGAGTAGTGAAATTTGGGCTCATATGTTCTTTTTTATTTCCTATCACTTATTGTGGCATCTCAATCTCTTTTTTTGGTCTCCTTCATAATAATCCTTCTTGAAGTAAAAATCTATATATTTATTTTCTTATTTGTTTAATTTTTTCCATAGACCAACTTTTTTATTTAATTAAGGTACTCAAATAACAACTAATATCCAATAATTCTCTTGCATAAAGCTCTTCAAAAAATATCTTGTCTTCCTTGCTAAGATTTGATATTAAATATAATTTTGATCCTACATCATCAATGTCTTCAACCATCTCATCTTCTCTTTTATATCTTGCTTGAGATAACATGTCCGCCACCAAATTATCAATTCCAAGAACATGCCTAAACTCTAGATTTAATAATTTTATATAAGCAATCCATCTTAATAGTATAATATTTGGTATTGAACAATTAGGAATTATTCTAAGCAATGATAAGTAATTTGTTTCAATTACTACTACTACATCAATCAAATAATCTTTTTCAGATTTCATAACTGAAACAACTTTCCATAGTTCTCTTTTGACTTGCAAATATACATGTTAATAAGTACTTGAAACTTTACCTCCAAATTAAATTATAAATTTATTTCCACTTAAATCATCTTGACCTACAATCCACCCAATAGCAATTGGACTAGTATCTACAATAAACATTACTTATCTATTATACTCATAATCAATTCTTTTTAAAATTAGACGTATCAATAATAACATCTTTAGTTTTTACATTGCTTTAGTATACTTTCTTTTTTATTTAAATCAATAACTCTTATGTAATAATTCATATAATAAATTTTCTATATGAATATAATGAGGAATCTATATATAATAAAATATACATGTTCTTAAAATTCTATGTACTTTTATTAAAGAGTCACATGTATCTTTCATCCTTCTAATTCCATCAACTTTGCTTGGATCCAGTTTTTTCCTATAAAATCCATACAAATGTCCAATAATGACAACTTCTTGTATTTCAAATGTAGATTTTGCTTCCAAAAGTGTAACATGAATTACTTCAAGTTGAATGAAAATCTTTTCACAATCTTGTATATGATCAATAATATACTTATGACACCTCCTTTCATCTAAAATCTTATCTTTCTTTCCTTCTTTACATCCTTTGATAGGAACATCATCTAAAAAAGGCATAGTTTTTTTAAGAATGAAGTCTCTCAATACCTTGTTCATCCCATTCATCATATGTACAATGGAGTTAATAGCACCTTGTAGAAGAGTACACATTTTAAGTAGTCCAAGTAGTATTTTCATTGTTGTTAAATCTCTACTTCTATGTGTAAGTTGAAATTGATTATAGCCAAAATATAAATTATCTATTGAATAGATTGACCTTTCTACAAATGTTTCCACAAACTCACCTACTAAAAGTCCTATACTTGTATTTTTAATAGTTACTCCATTTATTAGCTGTATATCTTGAATAAAATATAACGATCCATTTTTCTTAAGTACTATAAACCAACAACTAGAATATATAGCAAAAAAAGACTCCAAAATCTTCATTTTCATCTTTTTTTTTAATAAATCTATCAATTTAGGTAAGTATGTTCTTGGCACAAGAATTGGCTTTAAATTCTAAAGCACATGTGGTATTGTAAAGATAACCATAGGAATAATAATATTAGGACTCATACATTTTATTTCATTAAATCTAGAGGCAAAAGATTTATCTTGCTTTGTAAGCATTTTTTTAAAATATTCAATTTTTATTAATAACAAAGAATCATCACATTCAACCTTAAATTCTTCAAAAGTCTTCTTTATAAATTGATGTCCAATATTCTTAGGATTCCATAAACTTTCTTCTTTTGATGTTTCTTCTATTTGTTCTATAGAATCTTCTAACAAAGGTTTGGCAACCAATTTTACCTTCTTATCTATAATTTCATATTATATCTCTACATTAACTTCAAGTCCTTAAAAAGTTTCAAATATAGAATAAATCTCCTTTGAATAAATTTCCACAACCTTATCATCATTCTTCAATCCAATAGATGCAATTAAATCCAAAAAAACTTCCAATCTATTTTCTTCATAAATACCTAAAATACTCTCATCATTTTTTAATGTTTCTAATCCACATAACTCTTTTTTAATATTATATATTTTTTTTATTTTTTTTTCAAATCCTCAACTTTCTTATACATAATACTTTTATATTTAAAAATTCTAATAAAACTTGCATCAAAGGCACCTACATCTTACAAGACTACTTCTTCTTTTATACCTCCATAATCTTGCTTTATAATGGTACTTCTCCAAAATCCTTAAATCCTTCAATAGCTCTTAGCAACAACTTATTCGTCAACCTATTTTGATTTTGTTCATGATTAGGAAGCATAATTAGAAATTGTATTACTTTCCTTCCATCTTCACTACATATCTATGCATAGGTTGATCCATCATGAAGCACTTTTATTTTCATCCATGTTGCCATAATATATAATTGTCCTAAAATCATTGGATAAGATGTATCTTAAATAAAGAAATAGTACTCTATTACAACATCTCCAATCGAGATTTTAACATCTAAATAAGCTCCATATAATTCATCTTGTGTATTATTAGTTGCTTGTATTGCCTATCCATGCTCCATATCAATTGGCCACCTTTGCTTCTTATAAAGATCCTTAGACATAAGATTTATCTCAAAACCGTGGTCAACTAAAGCAATAATTGGTTCTTTTATATCTCTCATCTTCACTAATACTTCTGTAGTTGCCCTTGTTGAATGCTTTTGAATATAATGGCTTGAATCTTCTATTTCTTTATTGCTATAATTCTCAAAATGCACTCATTGATTATAACCATTCTTTCACTTGGTGGTTGCTCATAACAATTATCAGCCCCCTCTTCATTGTTTTTGTTCATTCCATCAAAATCTTAAACAAGAAAAGAAAAAAGAAAGAACATGAATTTGACGTGAAGAATCAAAACCCAAAAGATTAGTAGATCCAAAAGAGATGAGGATTTTAAGAGAAGCTCACAAAGTTCACTCACAAGACTACATGGTAAGAGGTTGTCAAAAAAGAACATACTTGCAAGGCACTTCAGTGGGATGCTTTGGCAGAAGAACTTACCCACAAGGTGCTTGAGCGGAAATCCTTGCACTTAGCTGCATGTGAAGCACCCACATATGCAAAAGAGGCTCAATGCCGAGATTTGCAAGAACAATGGAAGACCTTGCACCAAGCTTGCCTAGCCCTCCAAGCCGAGTCTCATGGATTGTAGTTAGCTAGAGGATCAAAGAGACTATTGGAGCAATTCATGGATTATGGTTAGCAAGAGGATCAAAGAGACCATTGGAGCAATTCAATGCCATTACACTCATGGAATGTGGGAGCATGTCCGGATAACATCGACAATGCTAGTAAGTTTTCAAACACTATTCTTTGTACTACAAGGGAGTCCCATGCGGAAATGGAGGCTGTGATAGGCGTTGTGGGGGAGCTACCTCCGGATTCAGCGCCATAAGAGGGTTCTGCGCTGGAATGGACTGCGGCACAGGTCGGCGCAACCAACTGGTCGCCGACCAAAATCGGCGCGACGAGCTCGATGCCGGCCCAAGTCGGCGCGGCCAACGGGTTGTCGGCCCATGTCACCGTCGCGAGGTGGTCGCCCGCCCAGGTTGGCGTTGTGGGGTGGTCGCCGGATCGAATCGACGCTGCGAGGTGGTCGTCTACCCGGGTCGGTGTGGGAATGCGGTTGCCCATCTCGGTCGGCGTGGAGGGGTGGTCGCTGTCCTCAGTCATCGTAGCGGGGTGCTTGCTGGCCCCGGTCAGCAAAGCAAGGCGGTTGCTCGCCGAGAGCAGCATTGCGGTGGGGTCCGCCCCATCTGGCACAGCAGGGAAGTTCCAGGGGGTTTTTTTATGTTTTTTGTAGTAAGTTATAAAGAAGGTAGCATAGGAATGTGAGATATTTTATGGGATGAGCAAAAACAAGAAAGACAGCATGAATCCAGCTTGAATGTGGTGGATTAATTTCAACCGGATGTTTGAATTTTCATGGCCTCATCTACACACTTACATCCAGAGAGGTTGGACGGAATTTGGTGTATTTTGGTAGCATTAATATGTGCAACTCATCTCGATTTTGTAAGAGTTGGATTTTTGGTTTTGTAACCCTCCATGGATTGGGATTAGGCCTACATGTCCACAATAGGTGGAAGCGAATCTTCAGCTAAAACATTTAAATAAATTTTATTTTTGGGCCAAATTGTGTGAAAACATTTGGAATCCTCCTCATTTCTATCTCAGTACATGGGGGTATTTATTTTCCATTTTCCACCTATTTTCCACCTACTAGATATGTGCTGAAATGTTTAAGTCATTGGAAATGGGTCGTCTACCTTGGTCTTCACTACTGAACATACACACCATCACCACAGGCTTCACAAGTCCAGGGTCCAGACGGCAGATGTAAGCATCGAGAAACTTCGAATACATTAAATTATTTCACAAATTTGATCTAAGGAACTGAATCATGAAACCAATTCTTGCACATTTGTCTTCGTGCTTTTGATCTGTTCATAAGCAAATCTGAAAAAGAGGAACAAGCCAAAATGCCCAAGCGTTATGTGATCTATCGTAGATATCTGCTAAGCCCATCTAAACAAAAAGCTTGCTTCTGGTTCTTGCGAGTGCTGCTGTCAACCACAGATTGCACAAGTGAAAAATGGTAACATGCTGCAGATTCGATTCCCTGTCCAACTGTTCTGTCTGATCCATTTTATACTGCATCAAGGATACTGGGTCGATCACACGAAAGTGAATATTCCGGTTCCGCCCACCAAGGGCTAAAAAGCTCTCGAACATTCATGTTTCATTGGCAGATTAATGATTTCAGCGTCTTCTTAGTCACTTGATGAGAAACTTAAGTCCAGGCTAGCAAAAAAGAATGGTTGAAGAATAGAATTCTGATTCGCTTCAGAGCGCCGTAGAGAGCAGTGGCTTCCTCAATCAGCGTCCGCTGCAATGTAATCGCCTTTTCTAGGCGAGCCGCGCGACGACAACTGACCAGTGCGATCTAACAAAATTTCGGCCATCAACCCCCTTGAGGGCGTCCAGGTCACCCTGGACGAGTCCACGGAGATCGGCGGAGGCGATGGAGGCGGCCGCTGGAACTCGCTTTCGTCGGGCGCAAGGACATAAGGTCCCAGCCCCAACGGACTCAACCCATAGATGTCGTCCCGAATGGGATCCCCAAGGGCGATCCACCACATGACTTGGTGGAATCGCGGGGATCGGGCCCCGGATGACGAAGGGGGTGGCTGAGAATGCAAGCCCCGAAGCTTGGCTAGCAGGGAGCACGTCATGAGCAGCAAGAGGAGGACGGCGATCAGGAGGAGAGTGGTGGTGAGATGCATCTGCCACCATGTGCGCACTGCGCCGTCTCCTGTACAGATCCCCTCGCCGTCGCCTTTTTTGCCGCTGAAGAGAGTGCGATCGGAGCAGTCAAGTCTAGCGCCGCATGCAGTGTTATAGGACTCGCATGCGGAGTGGCAAACACGCAGCCGGTTGTCACCGTCTGTGTCGCAGCGCTGTATTGATATCTGCGCAACGAGTTGGTTTTGTCAGTATCGTCGGATAGGAAGGGGTTGTGTACTTGTTCGTCCTCGAGGAATGCGATGTGTATCATGTTGATGAATAGCAACTCACCCAGCAAGCGAGGCGCTTAGATGCTGTGGCGCAGTACCCGTCGTCAAACATACTGAAGAAGAGCCGGCCACTTGGGAGGAGGCGATTGTAATTAGGCTTGACCACCGCGACCTCTAGCTGCTGCAGAATTGAGAATTCGCTTGGGGCACAGTGTTGCGCTTGGGACTCACCGACTAGCACGTCGCCGCACAGTGAAAGGCTGGGGATGAGATTGCTGCTGTTTTGGCAGGTGTAGCCTGCGTAGTCTGAGCAACGAAATTCACACACTCCATTGTCACAGACACCTCCGTGAAGACTGCACTGCTCGTCACAACCAGCGGTGGAGCAGTCGACACCAGTGTAGCCTGCTTCGCACTCACACATTTCATTCTCTGTACAGGTACCATGCCCACTGCATCCCCTGGGACAAATACCTGCATTTAAACGAGCCACACGTGCGTTCAGAACATGTAAAAAATTGTTTTCATCCATGTCTGCGAAAAAATGTTATATCAACTGCACACCCTTCCTGCAGAGTAAAGATTACAATTCGAGAAAATTTCAATAAAGGCAAATCTCAGTCCCAGGGATCACGTACGTTCGCGGCAGTCTTCACCACCGAAACCGAGGAAACAGCGGCATACTCCTTCGATGCACTCCCCGTTCCCATGGCAGTTCTGATTACATTTCCCGGGTATAGATGCAAGCGAGTCATCACAAAGCTCATGGTACATAGGGCATTCCAAGTTCCCTATATATATTCAAGCACGTCAAGACAACAAGTCAAAAACCACCCGGAACAACAATATGAGCATCCGAGAAAATTTCAACTATATTTCGGTGTCATCGAGTGGAAAGAAAGGTACAGAAGTACAGATGCATACCGTTGAAACCTGGAAACTCAATCCGACCACCTTCTCGTGGACACGTCTTCCACACTCCATCAACGGAAATCTCGAGAGAGTTGTTGCTACATCTATGCAGATAACAACCATTTCCCTGTGTCATGGAGCCGCGCACAAATCCAGAGCGCACTAGAGAAGATGCCATACATCTGCAATAATCAAGCCATGCAGAACGCGATCAGACAATGTATGCGCACAACTTGATTAGAAACTATTGCAATACATGGAGCAACTCAAAACACCTATTGCAGCTCAGAGACAGACATCAAACTCACCTAGAATCCCGCCCTCGAGATTCACCGAGCATTCTATCTGGAGCCCGGGCACTATTTGTATCTGTACAGGACCCATCAGAATAAGCGACAAAGTATGCACAGTAATCCGCCAACGAAGATTGGCCTCCTGCATCCCACAAACCTCTCGAAGTCAGAAACAAATTAATTAGCTTAATCAAATTAGCTTATATTAAATTGTGAACATAATTATAATTATAATCAAGACAAAATCTCAAATTCTATCTGATGTTGGATGTTCAAAGAAGAAAGCATGCAGGTGGAGACAAGTACCTTTATTAGCCTCAGGGAAGTAACGTGCCCAGGTCGGCAAGTCACCATTGTATTTTACAATGGGGCAGTAGCCCTCGGCTTCACGATTGTAAGTACAACCAGACGGGGATGTGCTATTACAGCGGTAGGCTCCGCTCCAAGCGTCACACCTTGACGAGAGAAAATCGACACCCTGATTTCTACCCCAGTCCAGCTGCTCTGCCATGCTATAATTTGCCTTGTACCAACCGCTGTCCTCCAGGAGCGCCAATGTCATGGCTGACACCACCGATCTTGTGTCCACCGACCCAGTCATTATTTCATTCATCAACAATCGCTTCTCCCAATGCGACCCCGCCGTCCCTCTCCCTCCACCATCTTCCAGTTCTAATCCACTGAAATTCTTGGAGTAAGCCTGCCATCAATCAAAAAGAATCGTTCATTCAGATTCATGAAGGGAATACGCAGTGACATTAGGAACGTTTCCTTCTCAGCTCCTAAACTTACGAAATTGAGACGCAGCTGAAAGAGGTCGATACATACCCCATAATGCTGCCGTGAATGCACAACCACCCTGGGCAAAACGACACGCGTCACCATTCGCCCCAAATTGGAGTCGAACTCTTGTGCCACCACCTCACTGCGCCTCCGCTTGCGCTCATCTCGAAAGTGAGCAAAGGCGTGTGGATCAAAACCCAACACATGCATAACCTCATGAATGAGAGTAGCAGACAAAAGAGTCTCAGCTTCGGCAGTCAAATGCCGCGGCGCCACATTCACATGCCCCGCAATGGCACGACCCCATTGATCTCGCTCACAAGCCACAGCCCACGCGAGAGTATTGCCTGTGGTGGGTCTAGTTGTGACCAACAACACAAGGTCGGCATTCTCTACACCCTCTACAATTCAATAAACTGCATTCTTAGTGTTTCAATTGCAGGTTAATAAACAGCAATTGAGTATTGAGACCAGATCAATGAGTAGACATGGCTCACCATCCACATACTCACGAGGAAGCTGGACACCTCCATCTTGGCCACAAGCAGAATAGCCGCTCAGCCTCAACGGTCCCTTGATTCGTTCGACAGCAAGGGCCTTTCTAAACCATGCCGCTGTCTGTCCTAATGCTTCGTGCAGACGGTTCTTCTTGTCCTCTCCGGAAATGTCATCTAATGTGCAATTGTACCAGCAGTCTCCGAAGATGGGCGGTTCAACGTGGGAGTTGCACGCCGGAAATCCGGGAATGCTGCTGGGAGCGGGTTCCCCAAGCTGACCACATACATGTCACAAACCATAAATGCTAAAACCATTGTTGGCAATTTGATTCTATCCAGCACTACAAAAGAAAATGCCATGGTCATTGAAGCCATATTCTAACCAATTCTGTAAGCAGGAGACGTACCTTCACAATCTCTCCAGGAGCTCGACAGTCTCGATCGTGGGAATGTCCCACGGCGTCGTAATTGAGAAAGATCCTAACAGGTTGTCTCCTGTCCACATCCGCCTCTTGTAGCAACGCACGCCCATGTGATTCATCCTCCACCAGCTCAGCACTTGTGTCATACACCTGGGGTGTGATCTTGTACTGATTGACCCCGGCCCGCCGCTGCTGTTCCAGGATTCTATCATGGATGCAAGAGTGAGTTTGTGGAGCTTCGCCGGTTGTTTCTCTTTCATACCAATGTGAGTGACTGTGCTTTTCGGCAGCAGTGAGTGTCCCAGCCCATAGCAGCAGCACCAGGATCTGTGTTTAAAACCACTGACCCTGAATTAAAAGAAGAGACATTGGAGGTAACAAATGCCATCCAAAGTGACTTCTTCAAAGCTTAGGGAAAAGAGAGAAAAACGGGAAAACGATATATCAGGAAGAAAAAAAAAAAAAAAAAAAAAAAAAAAAAAGTGAGGGATTCACCTCAAAGCAAGATGGCTGGAAAGTAGAGCACTTTTGAGGCATCCCCGCCGGTTCACAAAATCAACTTCTGGTGATTTTTGTTGGACATGTAACCATTGTATTAATGGAGCCGGCATCTAGGAGCACATAACTCGATCGCAATGCATCGGCTGCAAGTACTGAAGGTCCGAAACCTCCTCATTGCATCAACCCCAACATCATTCTCTAATTCCGATCATTACGGCTCGGTCGATATCACCAACTACTTGCTAAGCATTGCAGCAGCTGAATCTGAGAAAGTTTCAGAACAGCCAGCAATACAAGAAAGCTAGACCTTGGACTCAAACTCCGGGTGGCACAACATAAAATGCCGTTCAATCAATGAATTATGGCCAGCAGCTGACCATCCCCACTAGCAAGCAGCTAGCCCCAGAAGACTGTCATTCAATGGAAGACAATTCCGGCATGGACTTCAACCCAACCTTCACTAATTCCCGACAAAGAAATTGCAAATTTCGAATCACATACTCCACATGTAAACATACTTTTTCAAACTCATCTCAAAATTCCACTTTCTCGGCTCCTTCACCAAAATCGAACCCCGTCAGAACTGTGACCATAATGAGAAATCTGCTTCTGTCTGATCATACAAATACCGAGAGGTGGTACCGATAAAGTGCTTCACGTATCTACTCAACATTGAGATAGGGCTTCGGTCCCATGAAAGCACTGCTATTTCGTGTACTCTACAGGTAGTCTGAATCCTCATGCGCAGTATCTTTGGTGTTAAAGCCTGCAATAACCAGCCGCCGAATTAGGCCACATCCATAGTGAACGCCACCATACAAAATATAAACCGTCCAACGCTCCAAACCGTCTTGACAAGTACCAAATCACTGAGGATAGAACTCAGATGTCCACCAGAGCGAAGAAAGAACTACTCCACAATCTCGACGCTGCTCTAGCCCATCAAGATCGGAAATTTTCTTAAACAGTATCCAATTAATGTCAATCACGCCTACTCACCTCATTCTTAAAGCATGAGAAACTCAAAGTAAGAGGTCAAACATTAAAATCACACTGCTCGGCGGATGGTAGGACTTCTAAACGGCCTAAGCAAACTGAAGCTTTCAATCGCGAAGAGTTTCGCAATTGCTCCTCGTAATAATCGACCTTGTAATTCTCACTGCTTAACCGCTGCAGCACTGAAAGCATAATACCGATATGCTGTTGGTTGCAGCATAAAGTTTTCTCTGCTTCGTTCAGCAGTTACTAAGAAGATCAAAAACTATAAAGTCCTACTATGGAATCCAAAACTCCAGTTGTTGTCCTCTTCAGGACAACAGCCCTGATGAGCTACGCATCAGAAAAGAAATTATATTTAAAATTTATTTTCAAAAAATCTATCGTCTTTCTGAAGCCTTTTGTTCTTGCCTCCGAATGCATAGAACATTATTAAAACAAAACAATCTACAAGACGAAGACTACCGACTTCACAGTCCATTCCAAGTTCTTGACCTCCGTTACATACCCCAAGAAGCAACGAATCAACACACCCTTGAGGACCTAAGCCAGAGAGGTCCAAGTGTACTCTCCCTGATCCCCTAACTGCTTCACAAGTGCAAGTCTCATCACATCCAGCTTAGATGATAAGCAAGAAAACGCTTCTCCCCTCCAAGAATAGCCTACAGGTGTTATGGAACGGCTCCGGGGCCACTCGTAATTAATAAACTTCTACACACTCTCCATAAACCACTACACAAAAGATTGAAAGCAGCATCAAGCCCATGAACTTCGCACGAGTCGCTCGATGAACTCACGACAGCTCCCGTGGGAACAGACGACAGCCGATCGAATGGCAGGGTTGGAAAGCTAGACCTTCACTTAAGCACCCGCCCTAGCTTCTGCCAAGCCGCAGCGGTTGGTCTGTCAACGAGCTCTCTCGCAAACGCTTCCCTTGAATACGGGTCTCACATTCCTACACACACTAGTCCGTTGTCACAATGTCACCACTCCCATGTTCTGCAATCCTCCTCGAAATCTTTTACGCCGCTCAACGCTAGCGTTTGCTCCCAAACTCGTTCCCAGAACCGTCAACAATCAGGCCTCCGAGGCTACTAAAACGTCGACGCACGCGCGCGCGCACGAAGATTGCGCCTTCACTCGCAGGTATGACCCGTAGAGTGTTGCACCCCCTCCCCCAGCTAAGCACTCTCTTCCTCGCACTGCCAAGTCTACCTCTCCTCCATGGAATCAACCGCACCACCCATCACCTCACCCAGGACATGCCGGCCCTTCTCTACCTTCCTCCCTTCCTTACTTCCTCTCTCGCTCTTTCTCTCGCTCGCTCGCTGCAACTACGCCCGTAGGTGCAACAATTGCAACTGCACGGGTTCCATCTGCTCAACGCCCCCAGCAAATCCGCTGCCAGGAGCTGCAACAGATCATGAAACGAGGGCAGTAGGGGTCCTGGACGCACTTCACGACGCAGGTAGCGACCGATTGAATACAATCCCCGCTGCCGAGGATTGTGCGCGATTGATGAGAACGGCAATGACCGCTGGAAGACTTTGGGAGGCGAAGATGAGGGGAGCGAAGACGGGGCAGCAGGATGTACGCAACAGGGAGGCGCTTTGATACGTGCCATGCAGGCACCCCAAGCACGGCGCAAGCACCCCTACCGATGCTTGAGCAAATGGGATATTACTTTTCCCTCTTGGAGGAAGTCAATCTCAGGAAAGTCTGCCCTTTCCTCTCTTTCTTCGCCCTTTCCTGAAACCGCAAAAAACCCACATCACCGAAACGCCTTTGCCCAGCTTGATCCGGCGCAAACGGAGCGTCAACCACGGCAGTCAAACATCTGCCAAGTTCCGGCAATGGGGGGCTTATTTTATCTTTTCCACTTCCACCTTCGACTTTCCACAAGTCAGGAGCGCTGTAGAGTTGGGGATTTTCTACCTCCGATTTGGAATTCACCCAGGGGGTCGTTGATGCACTCGATTACTGTTGGGTAGTGATTCAGGAGCTGGATTATGGGATGATTCGTGACAATGCCTCGGGCTCCGAGAGACAATATCGACGCACACTCAGCGCCAACCATGGGTTTCAACTATTGTCCTGCAACTGAACTGTTGGCTTTCCCTGCGTGAATTCCTTCCTTGGTTTTGTTCCTGCATGAGATCGATCACATCGATCACTGGAGCATTTCAAAATCGCCGTTCCGCGACGGTTCGCATCCTGCGGCGTCGACCCTTCCGAAGAACACAGCGACCCCCCCCCCCCAAGTCCCGTCGGTCCAGCTCAGCATCTCGCAGTGAAGGCGATGTCCAGCTCAGCACTATCTGTGGCGCCAATTTAGTGCCTATGTCTGTGCGTATAAATAAGAATATATATATATATATATATATATGTGTGTATGTATATATATACTCTGTTACAAAAACAAATATTAGTGAAAATGGTTACATTTTAGTTATGGGGATTTTTTTTATAATTAGGTAAGTATATTATTTCATTTAGGAGATGCTTTGCATGAATAGAAGTTGATGCTTTAGTTGATGAAGTAGAAATGGCATGATGATTAATGAATATATATATATATATATATATATATACACATAATTATTGGCTTGTCTCATTCTTGGTTGACTCCATTATTTTTGCACAAATATGAGTCAAAAGGTGTAATGGCTTGGAAAAAGAAATCCCTTTTTCAGCAAAAAAAATCAAAATTTGTGTGTTATTTATTTTCTACGTTATATGTGAATGATTTTATTAAAATAAAATGAAAACAACAACAAAAAAAAACAACAAGAACAACAACAGCAACAACTTTTATTGGTAAAAATAAGACAATGTTTTAGCTTTGTCAATCCTTATCCATATGTTTGAATTTCCTTCAAATTGGTCAAAAAATATTTACCTTCCCTCTCTTTTACCTTTCTCTTTATTCTTCTTCTTATTATTCTATATGCATGTGTGAGATGTATATACTTGTTTTGTGTATAAATAAATAAATATGTATGTATATATATATATATATATATATATATATAATCTCCTTTAATGTCCAAGGTTTGAGTGGGGAGTGACATCCACAGATGATTTTCACATTGAAAAAGCTCTAAAATTGGAAGTACAAGATATGGGGAAAAAAACCGTTTGAACATTTTATATAAAAAATGAGAAATAAAAAACATTTTTTCAAAAAAATAAATGTCCATGACTAACTACACGCATGCAGTCAAAGTCTGATATTTGTATACATTCATCCTAATCACTCGCAAACCTGCAATAAACAAATGACTGAATGTTCTATCTCTTTGAACTTCTTCTCAAAAATGCACTAAACCAATATATATATATATATATATATATATCTATTTATGTACATGCAATATAACCTTTAGTTTGCTTTATTTTGCATTCCACCTTTTGAACCAAACCCAATTATTGCTAGTATCTACAATTTTGTAAAAGAAAAAAAAAATAAAAAAAAAATGATAAAAAGATAAAATATAGGCTACTTGAACAATTTGAAGAAGCCTTCTTCACATGGGAATAAAATTAGGTGCATACTAATTAGCTGGTATCATTTGAATTTTACATATAAATCCTTCAAACCTTGCAATATCTTCATTGATTTCATTGTAGGTATAGTTCAGTGATTATGAAACTTTAAATGTAATTTATTTTAATTTGTGCAACCACTTTGACTTTAGAAAAGCTTAACCAAATTAATTATGATACTTTTTGTATTAGGGAAGCAACTACTATTACTCTCAAATAAAAAATAGTGAAACAGACTTTTCATTTTCTATATAAGAATGTGAGGCAAATCAATTTAGTTATTCATCAAAATAACTATGTAGATATTAATCTTCAAGTAAAGGTCTCATTTCAATGTCCTTTTGATGTGTTTGTATTGACTTTCTCACTACATTTTCTTGGGTAGGGAGATAAATTTGTATTAAAATTTTGTATATAATATTCTTTACATGCTTCTCAAACGGTGTTCAAATCCGTATTGAATATAAGTAGAAGATATACTTTTCAAAGCCTTATTTCAATAATTGAAAGTAGAAAGACATTGCTAGAATTTGTGACAAGTGTTTAAATAAGTATGATTTATGCTTTCACATACAAAAATGATAGTTTTCTAAACTCCAAAATCTCAAATCAAATTCTTACATATATTATTTGTGTGTTTGGAATAGTACTAAAATAATTTTTATCCAGTGAGTTATTTCCATTCTTATTGCACAAACCATTATGCATTGTCATTAGTAAGTAGAGGAAAAATAATTTTGTATAAATGAATACTGATGGTTTGCTGAATATTGACCAGAGGAAAAACACATGTGAACAGAAGAAATTGATAATCTGGGTTTTTAAAAATACTATTTACAAGTTTTTAACCATTATTGTCTAAAAGATTGAGAGTATTTCTGTAAAGAAAAAAGCATTCTGATTAGAATAACAGAGGATGCTGTTACCACTTTTATTCTAAGAGTGGCAAGGTCCATCTATTGTAGCTTACTTCTGCAAATAATATGATCAGTATTATATATATATATATATATATATGTTTGGTACTTTTCTTTTGCTTCTAATGATACTTAATTTTAATTCAGTATTTTATCCATTGTTTACCGAATAAATCACAATCTGTAAAGTTACCAACCTATACGAAACGTTTGTTTCTTTTTTCAGTGTAAGCACTCACTCAAACTATACTGATTTGTTTTATGACTCGAGAGGGTTTCAACTTCAAGATCTTACATGAACAACATTTTAAGAATAAAATTAAAGATAAACGTATTTTGGTCATAAACCAAAACCTGCATTAAAAACTTGAGAAGTTTATCTAATCTACATCAAGAGAAACAATATTTTTATGAAAAAATGATCAAGAAATCAAACACTTAAGAGAACAAAATTTGATAGAATGTGAAACTATTCTACTTTTACGATGAAATATAGCAAATAGAAACATTCCTCAATCCTACAACTCCCCTCTCGTTCTCCAACCGTCCAATGGGATGAATGTGCGCACATCCATCCATTCAATTATTCATCAATCAACTAATTGTGAGGACGCGTTCACACCGCTCCTATTGGATCAGAGGATCACTCGGATTTTTTCTCATTCGTATGAGCTAAGTCACCTACAATTTATGTGGTATTTGTATTACTCATTATGGATCATATCCTCTATTTATTTATTTATTTTTATGTTATATTATACTTATTGTAGTTAACTCGTCCATTCAATGTGGATGGCAAATATTTCAAAAATTCATTCAATGCTTTAATAATGGTGGCGTATTACATCCTTCACTTCATGGGTGATACATGTATTAATGGCTAAAGATATATGGTATGATGGTTGATAATCTCATGCAAAACCATGATTTTCGTTATACTAACTAAAATCAATACATGCTAACCCCGAAATAGAAATATGATGGAATACCTATACAGACTCCTAGTATTTAAATTTGCACTCTTCCAAGTCTAAAACTACATATTCCTTATATCGCTTTCTTGTCAAATTATTTTCCAATTTATTTTGGAAAAAATCAAATTTTATTTTATGTTTACAATTGATTTGATATTATTTCATCATTAATTGGTTTTATAATTTTCAAGATACATACATACATATATTCAATTATGTGTTGTAGAAATTTCCATATTAAAGTGAATCTAATATCAAAGACCCCTCAAGAAATCCTCAACGTGGATTGAAGATTAAGATCGTTCCCATCCTACGTGGCATGTAGTATTTGAGGAGGGGCCCTGTTGTGGAGAGAGGAAAATGGGCCTATTGTTGAAATATTGTCACGAAGAGGAAGCTGTCCACTCTACAC